CAAGCTGAATAAATTTATAAATATCAGCATTAAGTGAGATTTAACGGGGAGCTGTTTATCTTCTGCCTGTCAGGCAGGAGGCGACGCTCTCCATGTGTCACTCGCCAGCCGTGCAGTCTCTTGTCGCCTGCCCAGGTAAGCTGGGGCAGAGCCCAGGTCTGGGGGCAGGAGGGGCTGGCACAGAGGGTTCGCCTCTCCGTGTGGGCTGCTGAGCCACCCGTGCAGTGTTGGGAGCTTGCTCTCTGGCTCCACATCCCGGCTCCTCCAGCAGTGCTGCAAGTGTCTGGGTGACTTGAGGACGCTCTTTAACCTCTCTGAGTTAAAGCTCCTTAACTGCAACATGAAGAAATCAGCACCTACCTCACAAGGCCATGGGGAGGATCAAATGAGTTACTGTTCAGCAAGTACCTGGCATCTAGTAGGTCCACAAGCAAACAGATTCGCTGCTTACTTCATCTCCAGCACAAAGGTAGAGAAAATGGAGGGTCCACATAGCCACCCAGCACTGCCAGCCTAGATGGGAAGAAAACAGGTAGCAGGCAAGGGGAGAGACAAGGAAGCCGCAAGGGAGGATGTGGTCGCGGAGAGGCTGGATATGTATCCTGGCTCTGCTGTGACCACACCTGGGATTTTGTGTTGGTGACTCCAGCTCTCTGAACCTCCATTTCCTCCTATTGTATCCTGAAAGTCCCTCTAATGCCAGAGCCTAGGTGACAATTTCCCAGTGAGGCCATGTGCAATGAGAATCAAGTGTCAGAGAGCAAAGACACCAAGGCCAGGAAGACTTCTTATAACAGGCGAGACCCAAATATTGGGGAGATTGGGTCCCCCCATCCCTCTGTGATGCTTCCCCTTGTCTGGATCCCACTTCAACCTAGAACCTGTTCATGGGCTCATTGAACAAACAGCCCACACTCCAAAGGCCTTCCCAGACCACGCAGTGTCTCCTGGAGCTGTCAGCCCCCAGTCTGAGCCTGGACTGCATCACGGTCTGGGCACCCATCACCCCTCCACTCACATACACCTATGAATAAAATAAATTAAATAAAACATAAGATAAAACAAAAGCCGCACTCCTAGGCTGTCTCGCTCTGTACAAACTGCTATGTCAAGATGAGGCATCGTAACAGGCCCCTAATAAAGAGGTGTGGAATATGTGACTGACACAATTTTCAAAAATCCAGTGAGGCTTCTCTTATTGAAAAAGGCCATAAGGTCCCAGAAGAGTCCTTGAGAACAGAACATATACTTCGGTTACATACAAACACAGGAGATACCCAAAGTTTACATTCCCCAGTATGTGACAGCCCCTGAACACTCCTTCTTTCCCCCCTCCCTCTGCTGAGCCCTCTAGACCCCAAGGACCCACCCAAGTCAACATCCCTAAAGTTATCCTGAGATGCTGTGTTGCCAGGCGGCATTTACACGGTGCTGTGGGACATCACAGGACGGAAATGTGCTAGGGGACTGCCCTCCCCACCAACACACTGCAGGCAGGTGAGTTGTAGGAGGCCCGCTATGCCCGTCCCAGGAATGACCATCTGAGCCTGACATGATCCTTTCTAAAGAGAAAGTAAATAAAAGCAGATTGCACGTAAGAGGACCACACAAGGGGCCATGGGGAAGACCCTCAATGTCTCAGAATGTCTGGAATGAAAAGATTGAAGCAGTCCATCTCTACAGTCCACTCCAGGGCTGAATCTTAAATGTCACCATCAGGATGCATCTGACTGTGCAGGGAATGTAGGTTCTGGGGAGCCGAGTTGCTGAGAAGCAGCATCAGCTTCTTATTTACAGATCCTTGAGAGCAAGTGTGTTGGGTTTACGGCTGAGATAAGCACCCAGGCAAATGCCATCATTCAACCACATTTAAAGGAAGCTAGCTGTGAGTGAGGCTCTCTACCAAAGGCTCTGAAAGGAATGCAGCATTAATGTGGAAATCATATATTCCAAAACAAACACCTATGTGAGAGAGGACATCCCTGGGCCTCCTTGGGTCTGAAATAAGGCCTAGAGTGATCTGTATTTCTAAGTTGTCTGCTACAAACATTTGTGCTATTGTTGCTTTGAGAGTCTCAGCCCACAGACTCAGGTGTAGACCAGACTTCCCCAAGCCTCAACAGCTTAAGTCTAAAGCTGGGGTCATAATAATGGCAATAAGGCACATCTCAATGGATGGTTCCACCCACATTTGTGGGAGCCTGTCCATGTCCAAAGTGGCACAGTATTTCTGGAAGTATCACAACAATTTCACAAAATCTGATATGGATCCATGAAAAATAAAGAATGGGAGGGTGGTGGTGTTATTACAAGCAATAGGCAAGCCAACAAGAGAAACAAGTTGTTTCTTTGATCAGGAGATGTGTGGTGTGTGCCTATGTGTGTGTGTGTAAAGAGGACATGTTGTACTTAGGATATATTACCTTTGAGGCTCTTCCATGACTTCCAAGTGGCAATCCTTGCCCTGAGCTCGGGAGATAGTTGGGTCAGAGAGATATATTTGTTATCTACTTAGAAGAGAGCACTGAAGCGTGGTGGTTGGTAGAAGGCCAGAGGAGAGAGTGTGTTGAAAGAAGAGCATACGACCAAGGCCCCAACATTAAAACGCACCTTGAATTTCAGATGGGGAGAGAAGGAAAAGTCAGAGAAAAAGGTATACATGGAACAATCTGGAAGATGGAAGGTGCCATAGATGTGCACATTGACCTGGATGTCAGGGTAGCAGAGGGCTTCAGGGAGGAAGAAAAAGGTACCCATGACAAATACTGCAGGGCAGTCACAGGATAGGGACTGAGAAAAGCCATTGAATTTGGCATTGGTAGCCTTCAAGGGAACCATGTGAGTAGCACGGTGTGGAAAGAAACCTGGTTCCAAGAAGCCAAGGGATGAGTTGGCAGCAAGAACGTTTAGGCAGTGTTGCGAGTTAAGTTGCATCCCCCAAGAAGATATGTTGAAGTCCCAGTCCCTAGAACCTGTGAATGTGACCTTATTTGGAAATAGGATATTTGCAAATGTAATCAAGTTAAGATGAGGTCATTATTATGGGCCTTTAATCCAATATGATGGGTGTTCTTAAGGGAGAGGAGAATGCCATGTGAAGACACAGACATACAGATGGAAGATGGCCATGTGAAGATAAAGACAGAGATTGGGGTTATGCTGCCATAAGCCAGAGATAACTTGGAGTGACCAGAAGCTGAAAGAGGCAGAGAAGGATCCTCCCCTCAAGGCTTTGGAGGAAGCATGGCCCTGCCAACATTTTCATTTCAGACTTCTGGCCTCCAGAATCACGAGAGAGTAAATTTCTGTTGCCTTAAATGACCCAATTTGTGGTACTTCGCTATGGTGGCCCTTGAAGACTAATACAGGCAGATTTCTTATAAAGAATAACTTTATAAGAAATTTGTTCTTGAAGAGATGGAATTAAACACTTTTAGTAAAAGGAATGTCTATTTTTCATGGAAATACTCGAGTATATTCATAGACTAAGAGAAAGGATTCCATAGGAAGAGAGAAGTTGAAGATTCAAAACAATGGAAGAATTTATGTCAATAATATCTCAAAAAAAAATCACTAAAAATAATGCAGCATGGAAGAGGCAGAAAGAGTTTGAAATGATATCCAAGAGACACAATTGGCCTTAAAAGGAGGGAGATACTTTGTCTTCTGAGACTAAGGGTCTTAGCTTCAATCCTATAGAAAGCAGAGCCTGAGGGAAGGATTGAAGTGCTGACACTTCCTATGGGGGAAAGGTGTAAGCCCAGGACAGTAAAGGTTAGGATGAAATGGAAGCAAGGCAAGGGAAGCTGTGAAGCTCTGTGATGAAACACATTACTGTGCTAGTGGCATTTCCACAACTAGCCATGAAGACACACAGAGGTTCATTCCTGAGATGTGTTTGCTTGGCATGCTGGGCTTCTCTTTAAGAGTCACCAGGAGAAATCATACCTTGAAGCATCCACTGAAAGGGGGAGAGGACTTTTCCTGACCATTCTCCTCCTGTCTCTTATTTCCCACCAATCAAGATTTACCCAACAGTGAGCAATGCCCCTGAACTTTCAGATTGCTTCACCCAGTCTTTGGCCATCAAAACACCAAATCTCATGGTATGATCAAGAAGTGGAGGGATGACTCAGAACGGAATGGGCACCAAACAAGAGAGAGAAAGGAGGCAGCTGAAGGAATCCAAGAAAGCATACAAAGTTTGTGCCTAATATACCAGGGGAAAAGGGAGAATGGATCAGTGGAGATATAGAGACATTTTTAAAATAGAGTGAAGAAAAGTAGAGGAAATTGACATTGAACGGTTATTGAAAACAGAGCTCAAGTAGACCATGGGAAAGGAAGGGATGGGGAACACAGTTGGGACCCCAAAAGCTTTGAGGACCTAGAATAAATCAAAGACGAGTAAAAGAAGCCTTATTATAAATGCTATATTATGCAATCTTAGATTTTCAGAGCGGGACATTAGAAATCACTTTGCTTGACTCTGTCACTTTAAAGATGAGGCAACAAAGGCCTGGAGAGGATTAATGATAAGTAACTTTCATAAATTTACAACGCTTGTTAGTGGAGTCCTCTCTCAGTACTTAGTATTTTGTGATTTGTGTGTGTGTTTTTAGGAACAGTTTTAAACAAGATGGTTAACCCTCTGTCTTCTCAGGTACTCACACCCTTGGGAAGCCATGTAAGTCATGAGGCTGCAATCTAGACACTTCTCCACCTGGTGGCACCTCCCTGAATCACAGGCAGAGTCCAGTCAGTGGAAAGAAACAGCAGAGGACACTTACTGTCTGGGGATCCCAGAAGGACATTTTAAGTGTTCAGACCTCCTTCACAGACCTGGACCAGCTTCTCATGGACTTGTTTCTTCCTTCGCCTCTGTCCTCAGGGACTCATCGTGTTTGTTGCCCCTCCCCCCATCCCCACCCTCACTCTTGGTTCTCCACTTTGTAGCTCCCTTTCCTGTAAAAGGAAATAGGAATCGTGGGAAAGTAACAAACAAAACTTGTGAACTTTGGCCAGTGCTGGTCCTGGCCTCTAATTCTTCGAAGACTTCCAAGATGATGAATGGAAGGACTACCTGCACACACGCATGCACAAGTGTGAAATGGAGGGACCGAGACTCTGTAGTTGATGGGCCTTCCCCCTCTTTTTCTTTGACTCTGAAAGGTGAGTCTCACCAACCTCAATTGCTGCCTACCCACACTGCCTCCATTCTTTCTGACTTGACTCTAGGAAAGGCCATGTGACCTTTCCTCCAGGATAACCCCTTGTCTCAGACAGAATGTCCAGCCAAAGCAGAATAAAGAATCTACTGGACTCAGAGAAGCATTTTTGATGTCTCCAGACTAGCTTCTGGGAGGATCCCCCCTGGAAATTTTTATCACAGTCACACTAAAATGCCAAGAATGAATTGATAGGTGCACACACGAAATCTCAGTGTCAGTGCTAGGGGCAAGTTTAAAGCTCAAAGAAGTCAATTTAGGACAAAAAGAAAGAAGAAAAAATTCTACTTTCTGCTCTAGTGGTGAAAATACTCTCTGAGCAGTATGCTGACAAAACACTCATATGGCCAAGAGTAGAATTTCTCAGAACAGATAGGAGAATGCGTCTAGAGTTAGTTATCTCTTGCTATGTAACAGTAACAAATTACCACCAATTTAGCAGCTTAGAACAGCAAACATTTATTATCTCGAACAGTTGCTGAGGGTCAGGAATCCAGGAGCTCCACAGCTGGGTGGTTCTGGCTCAGGGCTTCTCGTGAGGTTACAGTCAAGCTGTCAACCAGGTCTGCAGTCATCTGAAGGCCTGGCTTGGGCTGGAGGATCCACATCCAAGAGGTGGTCCCACACATAGCTCTTGACTGCAGCCTCAGGTCATCACTGGCAGTTGGCAGGAAGCCTCAGTTCCTTGTCACTTGGGCTTCTCCATGGCAATGCCTGAGTGTCCTCATGACATGGCAGCTGGCTTCCGCCAGAACATGTGACCCAAGAGAGAGCAGGACATAAGCCTTGTCTTATAATATAGCATTGAAAGTGACATATCACTTCTGCATTACTTCAGTGGCCATACAAACCAGCCCGAATGTAGGGTGGGAGGGGACTACACAGGGTGTGACTATCAGGAGGGAGGAATCATTTGGGGACCATCTTTGAGGATGGCTACATTTTAGGTGGTAAACTTGTCACTCCATTATATGGACTAAAACTAAAACTAGAATTACTAGTGAATACTGTTGGTCGGTGGTTCATCAGAATTAACTGGAAGGCTTACTAAAACACAGATTGCTGAAACTCACCTCCAGAGTTTCTGATTCAGTAGGTCTTGAGCGAGGCCCAAGAATCTGCATTTCAAACAAGCTTCCAGATGATGCTGTTGGCCTAGGGACCACAATTGGTATAGATAAATTCACCAAAATTTAGAGTTTGAAGGTACCTTAAAGGTCTTCTGCTTCAATGATTCCCAAATCCAATTGCCCATCAGCATCACCTGAGGGAAATTCTAGACATTAGTGCAAATTCTACCTTCCTCCAATTTAAGATTCTGCTTCAGCAGGTCTTCCATGGAGTCTGCGATTTTTTTAAACTCTCCCAGGTGACAGTAGGATCGATCAAGTTTGGGAATCCCCAATCCCAAAGGTCTCCTCCTTGCAGCGTCCCCATCATCCAGCCTCTTCTTGAAGTCAACTCTTATCTGTAAGCAGTTAATTCTTTCTCAAAGTAATGCCCATTCCATTGCTAGGCAGATCAATGCCCCAAACTTGTCACTTAGACTTAACTAGAGTGGACTTATCTGCAACCTCCACACATTGCTCACCAAAAGCATGGATTCTCTCTCCCCTTGGTCACTTTGTAATTACAACTCCCACTTCACCATCAGTCTTCTCTTCTTAGGAAAAATATGCTCTATCGTCTTAGTTCATCCTCAGTGGGAGTGGTTTAAAGTACCTTTACGGTCTTCTGGTCCCCTCTACCTCTGTTTCTCAGTCTTCTTAGGTAGTCCTTAGAAGTGAACTCATAACCTAGGTGTGGGGTGACTCAGAAGGAACAGAGACAGAATATCACCACCTTTATCTTGGATGTGCTATTACTAAAACCACCTAAGATTATAACAACCTTTCTGTCAGCCCTGCACCTCCTTCAAATTGTACCTGCCCTCAAGATGTATCCTCTGAGGGGCACGCGCTCTGCTTTTTGGGTAACAGCAAGCTAATCCAATGGCCCAGCATTTGCTAATAAGTCTGACGGGCTTTTGGATCAATATTGTCACATTCTTCTCAACAAAAATATTTGTGTTTTAATACATCTCTAGAGTCACAGTGCCTTAATTAGAGGAGAGACTTGTTGGGGGTCATTTCGAGCAAGATGTTCTTCCTAGTGTCCTTTCAGGAAGATTCCACTTTCCTGGGCAAAGCCTGGAAACTCGAGGGTCTTGTCCAGGCTCTACTTGCCTTCCAGATGGTCCTCCCCGACCCCTCAGTCTCTGGAATCAGAGCGTCTGGGTCCAAATCCTGACCCCAACACTCAGTAGTTAGGTGACCTTGGGTGTGTCACTTAGTCTATCAGAGACTCACTTTGCTCATCTATGAAACAGATCAACACTAACCTCATCTATTTCTCATGTGGATGATATGAAATAATGTTACTGGGAAGTACTCTGGGGTGTTAGTTGCTGCCACTGTTCGTGGCAGTCTCCCCACATCCCCCAATTCAGCAGAGCACCCATGGTAAGAGAGATGGAGAAGAGAGAGCTCACCCCACTCTGGGATGCATGGCTGAGAATGCTAATGGCAGACTTTGATCTTCCATGTGCTTCACCATCTGGCAGGGAAGTGAATGAGCTACTGAAAACACACCTCTAAAAGAAGTCCTGAGCTCACCCTGCCCTCTCCTGGACCTACAATAGCGTTAACTGACTGTCTGCCTGGGCTGGCTCCAGAGGGTAAAGGAATCCCTCGGGCTCCCAGTTCCAGAGGCTCCAAATGATAAAGAGAGTGGAAATGTTGCCTCCTTTCCTCCAGAATCCTGCAGGAGGGGCTGATGTCATGACAGCCCTGGGTCTACATGCAGGAAGAATATGTAACTATGGGGAAACAAGCCAGTGACTAAGGGGTTCTGAAGCCCTTCACATTCGGGCATGTCTTTCCTCCTCTGTCTTTAACTTGGAAGGCTGAGTCTAATTCTGAGCCCATTCGTTCACTATTTATTGGTTGTCTGCTCTGTATCAGACACTCTGCATGGAGGAAATCACAGTAACCTCCAGTACCCAGCCCCACAGTGCCTGTCTCCTAGTTCAAGGAAATGAAAAGGGATTTGCATAAAGGAAGAGCTGAACTAGTTCATGGAAGTCAAGAGGGTGGGTCTTCAGAACAATCTAGGGAAGGGGTAAAAACGTAAGCAGAGCCTTCCCTGCATTTCCTCTTCCTAACCTGTAGGGATTGGGCCTGCCATTAAAGGAGGGGCGACTCTGCTCTTGGTTCCCTGGCCTTGAGACATTGGGCAGCTGGAGTGTGGGTCTTGGCCTGGAGATGGAGGAGACTTGAGTGAGTGGGTTCTGAGCAGGCTGAGGAGAGGTTATAGACAAAACTTCAGGTCTGCTGCGGAAGCAAAGAACCATGCAGAGAGGCCACTGTGGGGCCAGAAGCAAAGACTTTGATCTAGAGTCTCCCAGGTCCCTGTCTGATCTTCTCACCACAGCACGCTGCACCCAGAAGGAAAGGAGTTCAGTCTTCCCAAGATGGACGCCTCCTTCCCCCCCCCCCCCCCCCCCCCCGAGTGGGAAAAAGCCAGCCTGGGAGACTAGCCCGCGTGGGTTTACACCATCTATATGCCCTTGGTGAATTTGCCTGATTTTTCTAAGCATCAGAATCTTCTTTTTAATACTAATAAGTAAGGGTCAGGCATGGACTGGGAGTTCCCGTCCTGCTTTCCTCTGAACTCCAGCCCACCTCGAGAAGCCTTCCTGCAGGTTCTAACCATCTTCCCCATATCAGTTCTTCGTGTCATCTCCAATACAGTTTCTCCGACCAGCTCTTAGTTCCACCGGCACAGGAATTGTGACTTCTCCTGAAATACCACAGGAACTCAGTCCGGCAAGCAGAGGTGACTGGAAAACGCCTGCCTCCCTCGCGGATTCAGATGCGTACCGGAGGACCAGTCCTGAAGGTCAAAGATGCACAGGACCCCGCCCTGGCTTCAAGCACCGGCGGAGACGCGGTCTGTAAACGCGCGTCGTAGCTGGAGGCTGGGGACCACGCCCGTGCCCGCCTCCAGAATGCCGCCGGCGCTTCTGCTCGCGCCCTGTGCCGAGCCAGGCGGGGACAGGGGCCGAGACCTGGCAGCTCCCGCCCGCCGCGCGGAGGCCTGGGGGCGGCGCGCTCGGCTCAGCTGGGCCGGCCCAGGACGCGGCGCCACGAAGCTCTGTTAACCTTCTGGCGCGTTCTGAGACTGACGCTGCAAGAAAGGGAAGGATGCCATGCAAACGAAGGCCGCCGGTGTAGCGGAAGGCTACGTCTTTTTAATTAAAGGAAGGCACCTGGAGACGAAGCCGTTGGGAGGAGGGAACTAGAGCGAGTCGGCCGCGCCCCAGAGCGGGGAAGGGGAGAGACACGCACCCCCCATGAGGCTCGCCCCTTCCTCGCTGGTTGCGCATTCTCACACACCCTCTTCCTCCTGCCCACACAGAGGAGCAGGCAGCCTGGCGAGGCCTGGGCGTCTGGAGGAGGAGAGGGTCCCTTGTGTCCTTTGGAGTAGCTCTGACGTTGCACCGCTGACCTATCATCACGGGGACCCAACGCTCAGACCCCGGAATGGAAGGCATCTGGAGGAAGTGACGGACCCAGGCGACCAGGCAAGCGAGAAATAGAGTCAGGCACCCAGGACTGCCGGCGTCAGGACCTTTCTGCTGCCTGGCTGGAAATTCCAAGCAGCAGAGAGGATAACATCTAGGGGAGCCTTTTAGAGCCCACACTATTTCTTCTTCATCATTATCATCATCATCATCATCATCGTCGTCATTGTCGTCCCTAAAATCTGCAGAGCCCTTAAGAAGCCCCGTGTCGTGTGCTTTATCTCATCTCATTTAATCCTTACACAACCCACGAAGTGTAGGTGTTCTGATTATGCCCATCTCACAGGGGAAGCAACTGAGCCCCAAGAGAACTAAATCACTTGTGAAGGACCTCCAGTGCCTGCAGAGCCTCCAAGACTATTAAACTCCGACGTTCAAGGTCTCAGGGCCTTTTCTTTAGGGATGAGGGCACCCAGAATCGTGGAAACAGCATACCCACAGCACTTTGGACAGCACCTAACACACCGTTGGTGCAGGTGCTCAATAATTGCAATGCTCCTCCTCCCTTGCCCAGACCTCCCTTCGCATGGCAGGGGAAGGGGGGAGTGTGTTTCCCCTGGAGGATGACTCTAGAGAGACAAAGCACGGTACACAAATCATCTGCTGCGCCCTCAGAGCCAGGGTTATAGGCAAGGGCTTCTTGGGTGCCTGGGTCCTGGCCTCCAGACCATCGTCTTTCCTACAGGGTAAGATGGAGAAGGGTGAGTGCTGTTTACTGTCTCTTCCTCTCTCTTCGTGGAAAGGTACACTGAGGATTGGGGCAAAGCAGAACTGGGATCTCTGAACCCATAACAAACATCTAGGATGCAAGGTGGTCCTGGTTCGCCTCGAGCTCCTTGATTCAGATTCACCTCTTTTTTGCACTCACTACATTCCAGGCACTCAAGAATCTTGGAGTGTACCGGGCTGAGGAATATTCTCTGTTCACTTGCCTGTTAAAATCAAGGTTGCTGTGGCCACCAAGCTGAATGCTCCCTCATCATGTCATTTCCCTTAGAGTCACCTATAATGAAAAAAATGACCCAAACAGGACAGGATCCCTTACGATCACTCAATGGCCTGTGGAGTAAAACCTACCAGTGAGTTTTGCCTGAGTGTCACCAGGGTGCAAAGTCCTGTGTGGCTCCTCACTCCTAGAAGGACAGTAACAAATACAGTCTTGTTGTACAGGCCAGTGTTTTACAGACATCCTTTCATTTCATTCATCTACAATTACAGATGATAGGCATCATCATCCCCATTTTATAGATTAGGGAACTAAGGCTCAGAGAGGTTAAGTGGCTTGCCCAAGGCCAGTGGGCTTAGAAGTGAAAAAGCTGGGCCCAACTCCCTGGCAGCTCGGTCTGACTCTCCAGAAGCCCACCTGGCCCTGCCCTGTCTGAGTTTGGCAGGGTTCACCCAGAGTTCAGTAGCGCCAAATCCTTGTCTAATGGCCTTCTGAGGATCGGTTCTGTGAAGGAAGATCTCCCTCCAACAGTGGACTTCGTGAGAATTCCTGGGCCCAGTCATGACAGGAGGAAAACCTTTGGATTGCTAAAAAAATCAAAGTTAGTGATTAATAGTCTTCACCACCCAAAGCAAATGTTGGAGGACAATGGTTAATGCCAAAGTGTCACCAAGAGTCAAACAGTAATGGTCTCTTCAGTGTCTGCCTCCTCATGGGGCCCTTATTGCTTCCTTCTCCCATCTCTTTCTCCCCGGATCTCAGAGCAGGCCAGAGTAAGTGGGTCTCACAGCAGAGAGCCCTCCTTCCCCAGGACCACTGGGACGATACCCTGCCCAGTTTGGGACCCCTGTAAATCAGGGCCCCAAAAGGTGTGGCAGTGATGGAATGGGGTGTGGCTTGGCAAAGGGACCAGCATGTTTAACACAATGACCTGATTGTGTGGTTTGTTCCAACTCAGCAGCACTCAAATGATCACATGTTCCCTGGGCAGCAGGTGCTGTGAACTTGGCCCAAAGATTTGGAGCCCTTGGTGGCAGGACTGAGTGCCAAAGAGGAGGAGGGTGGTCTGGCTGTCCCTCACTGCCCCTGGGATCTGAGAGAGGCCATTCCTTGTATGCCTCTCACTGACCCTGGCTGGGGCCTGAGTCCAGCTCCCACCCCGATTCTACTCAGAGGGCCCTCTGCTGCCCAGAACAAAGAAGAGAGAGGCAGGCCACATCCACAGGTAAAAAGTTGAGGGCTGCTGAGTTTCTGCTTCTACCACTGGCTGCCCAGAACCAATGAGGGGCATGCACAGCTGAGACTCTGGTCCAGCATTTGTCTTGTTAACTGCTCTGTGCCCGGTGCCTAGCACCACACCGTCACAATGAGATCATTGTGTTATCCTTGCTGCTCGCATTCATTCCATCAATCACTAACGCAAGCGCAAATGTTTACTGAGCTCCTCCTGTGCTCCAGGCACCGTTCTAGACACAGAGGCCACAGACGTGAGCAAGACTGACGAGAACTCCCTGCCCTCAGGCCACTTTCCAGCTACTGAGAGGAGACAGGTGATAAACAAATAAGCAAGTGACATATATAACATTCAGATGGTGGAGAGAAATCAAGCAGATTAACAAGATAAAGAGTGAGGGAGAGGGTTGCAATAGGGGACTGAAGAAGGGTTCGTTGAGGAGGTGATTTGAGCCAAGACTTAGAGGTGAAGAGGTGACATCAGGCCAACCAGCAAGGAAGAGCAACTTAAAGGTCAGGAGTGAGAGTAAGCCTGGCAGAGTTGAAGAGAGCAAGGAGGCCAGTGTGGCTGGAGCAGAATAAAAGAGGGGGAGAGTAGGCGACACACAAGGGAAGTCATGGGGTGGCCTGTGCTGATAGAGTGGGACTTGGGAGGAATTGTAAGAATCGTCTCATGTTTTCTGAGTGAGCAAGGGAGCTGCTGAATATGAATTGGAATATATTAGAATATCATGCCTGCTCTATGTATTATATGTTACATAGTATTATATTGTATATTATATACAGTATTTTATATTATTATATAGTAGATAAATAGCTATACATAGTAATACACATATGTACCGACAAGTGTATTAAATGAGATAAGGGCTATGGTAGCATTTATTCACTATAAGGAGTTAGATCAATCGACAGTGTTATTACAGCTGATGAGTTTTCAAAGTGCTTTCACACACTGGATCACAAGAGCCAATCCAATGAGATTAAAAAGGAAGATGTCCTTAAGCATTTGCATTGAAAATGAGAAGACACAGGTGCGGGGATGTTGCCTGGTTTCTGCTCAGGGCGCAACTGTAGGACATATTCCTCTGGACGATTCCTTGAGAGCCAGTACACTTTCCACCTTCCACATACTCTTTCTTTATAGAGATGGGGACACCAAGGCCCAGGTAAGCTCAGTGACCTCCCTAAGTTCCCACAGCCTCAGTCCCAAGCCTGGGACCTAACCTCCTGACTCCAGGCCAGTGCTCCTTTACCACTGCCCTATACAGAGGCAGATCACCCTTGTAGAACTTTTCACCCCCTCCTTCATCCTGTTCAGTGTCTCTCTGTCGTTCAGCCACGGGGGTGCTATAAGTGTCCAGATTGTGCTGGGATGTGAAATCTAAAACCCTGGCCAACTTTAGGCACATGTCTCCTCCCCATCCCCTTAGCCTGTCCATGGCAGTCTGGGGGCAGGACCAATATCGCCCGCCTCTCTTGCCTGATCTGACCGTCATCAGACAGAAACTTCCCCTGGGTCATCGGGAGGTTTCAGAGTGAGAAAAGCCAGATCTGCCTGCAGCGGCTACCACATTTTTGGGACCCAAGCTCTGGGCCCTCCAGAGGACACACGAGGATAGGATAGGGCTGGCATTTACATTGGATCTGGTCTTCACAGAGCTTCAGGCTCTCACCGCTAGACCAAGGACAAAATCGAGAGTCAACAACTGACTGTGACAACATTTCCACCACTGCATCCTTGTGATCACTTCTCTCCACCCTCAATACTCTCATCATCCCTCAGGAACTATGGCAACACAGCCTCCCCCAGCCTGCAACCTGGTCTCCTCCACTCCATTCTCCACACTGCAGCCAGGAAGAACTTTCTAAAACATAAGTCTGGCCATTCCTTTCCCCTGCTAAAATCCATTTAAACACTGTCTTTGCTTTTCAGCATAAAGTCCAAATTCCTTAGCATGCCTATAAGGACTTTTATGATCTAACCCTACACACTTTCCCACTTCCATCTCTCAGCTCTCACCAGACCTGCACACACACACACAAATACACACACCCTATAATTGCACTTTATTTCCCGCTGCACTGAATTCAGTTCCCTAAATGTACCTGGCACCCCCGGCCTCTGCATCTTCACATGTAAAGGCATTTTTTTCTGTCCATACGAGAATACTCTATCTTCGCTTCCTCCCATCCTCTATTTGCCTGGTTGGTTCCACCTCTTCCTCTTGGACTCTGCTAGAGTCTTCTGAACAGCCAAGACTCTGTGAGATGCCCTGCTCTCTGCTCCCCATACCTCCCAGTCCAGCCCCATCACAGCATGTAGCACACCTCCCTGTAGGAACCGATTTGTTCCCTGAGTACATGATTCTTGGTTTGCTCACCACTCTGTGCCCAGGTCCTAGCAGAGTGCCCAGCGCTTAGTAGATGCTAAATAAATATTTGTGTAACTAAATACATGGAAAGGAAGGGAGGGAGAAAGAAAGGGCTATCCTGCGGAGGTAACCCTGGCATTATATTCATCATCATTATTGCTTCAAATTCATCATCCCTCACATTTCTCCATTTCTTAGCAGTTTACAAATCATGTTCATACCACTCTACTGATAGGATGTGAATATTATATGCATTTTTTGCTAAATATGAAGGACCAGAGAACCAGAGTAGATAAGTGACTTTCCCAAGATCACACAGCTCAGGGCACAGCTGTGTCACAACCTCAGGTCTGTCTTACTTTGAGTTCACACCACTTCAGGCTCCGGAATGGAGAGACTGAGTCTCAAGCATGGGTGTCCAGCTGTCTCTTGAATCCTGAAGGAGAGACCATAACACAGAACTCAGTCACCCAATTTGACCTGTGAAGGTGGCCTTGGGACCCCAGGGGGCTGAGCTCCTCCTCTCTTTCTTCCCTGGTTAGTTCTGAGCAGTCAAGAATGCTCTCAGGATGAAGAGCGTTCCCAAGTCGGATGCCCACCCTGAGCTTCTGTACACCTTGGTCACTGCCTAGAGAACGGCAATGAGCCTGGATTAGGAAACCTCACAGATACCAGCTTCTTACTCTGCCCAACCTGCTTACTTTCAACCTTTAAAGGGATAGTCAAGCAATGAGAAAAGAAGCCAAGTGAGGCTGGTGGGAAGTCAAGTGGTCCATGCCCATTTTGTAGGTGCCCACCCTGTGCTCCCACAATTCCATTTCTCTTTTCCAATTTCTCCAGGAAAATATTCACACGTGTGCACAAGGAGTTCATTGCAGAACAAATTTGATAGGAAAGAAGATGCAAGGTATATATTCATCAAATGGGGGACAGTTACTTAGACTACATTCTATCTGTATTTTGGACTATGATGGAAAAGTTAAAAGGAAGAAGGTAGAGCTATATGTCCTGATGTGGAAAGATGTTCAAGACATTGTCAAGTGAATAAAAGCAACTTGCAGAGCAAGACTTATGTACAGCATGCTGCTATGTGTGCTAAAATGCACACTCCTAAAAATGAAGGCCATGATTTCTCCAGTAACAGACACAAGGTATGAATAGAAAAGGTCTGGAAGGACAAGTGTCAAACAGATAACAAGGTTCCCTCAGGCTAAGAAAGGGAAGGCAAGAAGGGAGGCATCTGTCATCACTGTTTGAATTATTTATGATATATTATATATATAAGCTATCAATAAATACACGAAGGAAGAGGAAGGAAGGAAAGAGAGAGGGAGAAAATTAAATAAGACAGGCTTCTCAGTGAATCAGAAAGTGGCAGCGAGGTCAGACATCACCCACTACGAAGCTGAGCCTGAAGAATCACAGGTCCAGAATGGCATGCCTCCCAGGAATGGTGTCTCATATTCTGGACTCCACCCGCAAAGCCACAGGAACACTCTGGGAGGAGAGTTCTCAGGCTGAAGAACTTGGCAGCCCCTTCGGGCGGTGGAGCAGGGTCTGGCCCGTGAGTGCAGTCTTGGGCGCTCTGGAGGACAGAGGCCTGAGCCCCAGTGGGTGCGCAACCAGAGACGGGGGTGGGAGGAAGCAGCTCGCATAAGCCCAGAGACTTGGTGCTCCAGTTGTCTCAGGACCAAGTTCAGTTCTCCTTCTTCCCAGTCCCCTCACCCTCTTATCACCTTTGGTACCTCTGAGTGTCTCTTGGTGTCCTGAGTATGGTGACAGTGACACCACCCCAAGGTCTATGAGCAACACTTCTCCATCATCTTTATTGTGGCTAGTTTTACTTTCACACTAACATTTATTGAGCACCCACTGTGCCCCAAGCACTTAATCTGACTGAATCATCTCAATATAATACAAGAGAAGTACCCTTATTAGTCTCACTTCTCAGACTCAAAGACTTCAGCTCAGAGAAGTTGGGTGATTGGCACAAGGTCACACAGCCAGTTAAGGAATGTGCCAGGATTCCAGCTTTGGCTGCCAGTTTTCCAGCCTCTCAGTTATGATTCCTACATGGTCTCTGCATTCTGCAAGGGCAAGTACCAGGATTCAAGGGAGAAAAGATCCTTTTCCAGGACTCTGGACTCTCTCCTCTCAAGTGAGCCAGAGGGAAGTGATCCTACTTGGACAAATGAAGTCTCAGAGCAGATGGGATCAAAGTCTAGAAAGTGATAGGGAATGTGGACGAGACAAACAGAAATCATCAGGGCCACAGCACATTCCATGAGGTTCAAAGGAGAGGAGTTTAGGACAAATGAAAGATGATGTGCCTAAAATGGAAAATTTTAAAACAAAATTTGGAAAAACGCATAGGTTTAGGGTCTGAGGATCTAATGTAAAGCATGGTGACTAAAATTGATAACACTGCATTATATCATTGAAATTTGCTAGGAGAGTAGAACTGAAATGTTCACACTAAAAAAAAAGATAAATATGTGAGGTGATGAAAGTGTTAATTAACCAGCTGGTAGGAATCATTTCACAGTGTATGCATTTATCAAATCACCACGATGTATACCTTAAATATCTTACCATTTTACTTGTGGATTGTCCCTCAATAAAGCTGAAAAAAAAGAAAAAGGAGAATGTATAGGTGGATGATTTGCTCATTCTTGCCACAAACGTGTTGTGTGTGTGCACTTTGCACGTGTTCTATGTGTGCGTCTTGCCAAGAGCGCGGGAATTCATCAGGGAGAAGTGGGACTTGCTGTGACCTCAACCTTTGATTTCTTTGCATTCTTTCATTTACCTGTCCTCTCTCAGGGCCTAGGAAGTGTAAGTCTCATTACCAGGGGTCGAGCTTCTTCCCAATAGGCCACTGGTGGCCCCTGAAACTGACAAACAAGACTCTTTCTAGTTTATTCCAATAACTTTCTTGGAGCTTTTACAGCTGTCCGTGCCCTGGAAACACCCCCTCGAGTAGTGGAGAGAATACTAGCTCGTGTCTTAGATGAGCCTGAATTCAGATCCTGGCTCTACCGCTTAGCAGTGGGGTGACCCAGAGCAACCTCAATACCCCAGTTGCCTCAAAACTCGGTTTCATTGGGTGTTGTGGAAAATAAATGGGGTTATATGTAATAAGGCACTCAACCATCCCTAGCATTTAGTAATACTTAGCAAATAATAGTAGAGGTAGCTGTTGTTATTAGAAGGAAATGCCATGCTTAGCATTCCCTCAAGATGATGGTGAGTCCGTCCTAGTATGGGAGCTATAGAACAGTCAGGATGGCCCCATCCCTGGGGCACTGGAGCATGGAGACAGAAATGGGAGCCCAAAACCCTAAACCCTCTGGGCTGCTCCTCCAAACGCAGGGAAGGCAGAGGCTGCACAGTCTGCAGCATCATGCAAGAGGTCCAGCTGGCAGGAGAGTCTTGGGGCGAGCCGAGGCCCAAGGTGAGGCAAAGCACCCAGGATGGCTCTGCTAGGAACGCTAGAAGCCTTCCCGGGGGCAGGCAGTGAAGGCTGGGGGCAAAAGGCAGGTTACATCTCCTGAACCTTCTCTATCGCTCAACTTCTCCCCTTTTCCCCCTCCCCAACCACCAGGGTCTCTGATCCTTTCATCAGGGCCCTGGGCACTGCCAAGGGTTGGGGAGGCCATGCTCTGGTCTGTGGTTTGTGCAAACAGCCGGAACCTCTGGCCACGGAAAACAAAGCCAAGCCTGAGTCTGATGAAGAGTCGTGGGTTTTTTCCTCGGTGCCTCCCCAGGGACAGCTGTCAGGAAGGCAGCCCCCTCCAGTGCCCTGGCATTGGCCTGAGAGGATTCTTGTGCCCTGACTCCTGCTGTTCTGGAATGGACCGCAGGGGCCTGGCCAAGGGGAGGGCATTCCTGCTGAGTGAGCTGCTCTCCTCTCCTGTGGCAGGAAAGTTTTCTGGCCTTGGGGGTCTGACCTCACCTTGGCAACTCCCTGGGTTCCAGAACCTTCCTTCCTGATGGGAAGCGGGTAGGTGCTGCTGGGGAGTGGGAGGAACCAGGCTGGGGTGAGCAGAATTTTGAACACCTAAGGTAAGGCCTGGGTCACTAGTGCTTATTTGAACACTGAGTCATCCACCTACCAGCTGAGTAATTGAGACGTGTTCCTTTTTCTCATCTGCAAAATGGGTTGCAAAAGAGCCTAGCTCATTATTTGTAACTTTTTAAAAACTATTAAAACTAGAAAAAAGAAACGGACCTGTATTATCCCCTCTATACATTGCTTCTTTCCCCTCCATCTGTCACCTTCCTCTCTGCTTCCCCGGTACAGCTCTTTCCCACCCAACCCGGGAAACACCGGATCTCCTCCTGGTACCCCAGGTGGCAGCCACCAAGGGGCTGTAGAGAGACAGGTGCCCAGGACCCATCTCCAATGCAAAATCAATTGGACGCATGCCACAGGTGGCTTTTTCCAAACTGCTTTCCACAACCAGTGGCCCTTTGCTTTCACCTGCCAGGACCTGTATTTCTATTTCTGTGTTTTGAAAGCCTGGGGGAGGAGGGAGGAGCACGGGGTAATTAATGATTGATTCTCTGCAACAGCCACCAGGAGGCCTGGGGGCAGGCTGTCGGCCATTTCCTGAGGTGTGGGGACAGGGTAGAAATCCCATGTGGCTGAGGCACCATTGGGCAAGTCTATGAGGGGCAAGGGTGGAGCGAAAACTGCCTATGTTCTGAGCACTTCTTGCCCTCTGCCAAACAGTGAAGTCAGAGAGGCTGGAAGCTCTGCCGTGGCGCTGGCTCTCCCCTTCTGCCATTGGCTCTGCTGCCCTCTTTCTGGGTCACAGGGTATTCATTGCTCCCGGCACAGACACCCCTGCCCCCACAGTGGCCCCCACACCCACCCTAAACCCACAGGGCATACTCGCTGGCCCTTTCCCGTCCTAAGGCTCACTTATCCATCACCCAGGGGCTCAGAAGGCTGTTTGAAAAACTCACAGTGCTTTTGGGAAAGGATTAAAGGAATTGACTTCTACAGCATAATTTTAAAGGAGTTTTAACTCCGCTCTTCTTGGAAGCATTGCCCTGCCTTTGTTGTCTAATAATAATTAACTTTTGTACAGAGCTGTCGTTTTCAAAGGGCTTTCACAAAATTCACCATTCTGTTCATCCTCACAACAAAGCTATGAGATGGCCTTCCCCTCCCCACCTGCACCCACATCCTACAGAAAAGGAAACCCAGGCTCCGGGAAAGAAAATGGTCTCATTTCACATAGCCATGGCTGCAGCACTCACCTTCTAATTCAAAGTAGGGAGCCGCTATTCCCTCCTCAAAGGATGCACTTCTGTCCCAGGAATTGTTTACCGTGTAGGGGAAGGTTGCATGGCAGCTAGGCAAGGAGGGTTGTTGGCGGCAGGGATCTTCCCCCAAGGCTGGCCTCTCATCACTCTGCACAGAGAAACTTCTGAGACTTCATGTCAAAAGGGAGGAGGTAGTCCCCGGCTGCCTCTCCTGGGGTACATGGGCGTGAGGGAGAGAGACCCATGGACCACGCTGGAGTTCAAGGGGCCAAGTAGCCTGAGCCAGAAGCTGGTAGGATTCCACTTGTGCAATTAAACACCTAGCCCGGTAGTCAGTATAAACTCTGAGCTGCTTATAAAAGACCCCAAACCACCCTCCTTCCCAATTCTATCAGCTAGGATGACCAACTTACCCTGGTTTGCCTGAGACAGTTCAGTTTTAGCGCCAAAAATCCCACATCTAGGGACACCCTCCTTCTTGTCCCTGACAAACCCTACCACCAACCCAAAGGATTTCAGCTGAATCCTGGAAAGAAACGTCATCTTCTGAAGGCACAGCAGCTCAACTTAGAATTTAAAAAATCAGAATACTCAACTGGAGTGAGGCAGCTACCCGGGATGTGTATTAAACTCTTTGAATGTTAAACCCTGAAAGAATACTCATTTCCACAGAGAAATAGTCAGATCTGTGGCCAGATCTGTCAAATTTTTAAAGGCAAGCAGAGTTATTCTCTTTTCTCTATTTATTTTCATATTGGCAAGTAATTAAATTTTCTGGGAAAAACCTTGAGTTAAAAAAAAAAAATGTAACTGGGCTTAAACCACAGGTTGCCAGCTGATAATCTCAGCATGAAAGCATCTTGGGCATCAAATCTGAGAAGAAGGGCTGGAGGAGAAGGCGTTGGTTTTAAAAAGTGTGTTCTGAATTTCCCATTGATCTGAGAGTCTCTTAGTCATGATGCCGAATTCACTTTGAAATTTTAAGTCACATCAAAGGAAGGCTTGAGATTTGCAATCCTAACTAAAAGAATCATGGATTTTCAAAGTTCGAGAGAAAAAATTGTGATAAAAGTCATCGTTTCAACCTCTTCATTTTGCAGAGGAGGAGACCGACCCCAAAGAGTTGGGGTACTGATTAATAACCACTTTCTTGGCCTTGGTTGGAGAGAATTAGAAAGTAGCAAGAACCCCAGGCCTGATTCCCCACTGTAATTAGAAAGCTGGGCCAGACCACGAGGTCATGGGGCTCACTGTGCTCTTACGGCTGGTTGGCCTCTTGGCTCTAGGACTTCTCTGAGGAGCACCCCCTGGTCATCTGCTATGTCACCTGCAGTCTGCGGAGGGGGTGCTCTCAAGGTGTTTGGGTGTGTTTTTTGCACATAAGCCTTCATATTAAAATAATTTTTAAAAAATGAGCTCACAAATGGGACAGGAATGTTTTGACAACTTGCCATTTTGGCCCTTTGAGAACTATTGCCACAAATGAGGAGGGGGGTTTGTTTTGCTGAGAAGGAGAAAAGCCTTGGTGAGAATGGATGCATGAGTTTCCACGGTTATCGGTGCTCGCAGGCCCTCGGCTTGGGTAGGCCCTCGGAGGTTTGCAGAACTGTTTGGATGAGGGCTCACCCTGGGGTACTGCTGCCTGGTGGGAGGACAGCACGGATGGTCAGAGTCTCTGCCACGGCCTCCACACGCCGCGACTCCCCTACAACAGCAGGACAGGGGCCAGAGTGGCGAACTGGCCTGTGGGGTTGGTGGGACTCACTCCAAGGTCTACCTCCATCTTCTCTCTCCAGGGACTCCGACCAGAGAAGTGGAATATCTGGAACTTTGGAAATCACAGAGCAATTTTTAATAACAATTTTGGAGAAAGATTTAAAACAATCAAGCACCTATTGTTTTTCTTCAAAGACATTTACAAATGTGGAGGATCCACTTAGGGACATACGTATTCTTTTTCTTTTCACAAAACGATTCATTCCTGCTAAATTGAGAAACAAGAAAGTCCAGGCGAGAGGAGGGATTAACCTGAAAAGTAAAACCTTTTTTAATTAAGAAAAATTGTGTACATTCACGCACACACACATACACACATGTCCCCTGAATAACCCCACTTCCTCTGCCCCTTCCCCTCCCTCTCACCTACACCTCTGGCCACTGTATCCCAGAGCAGCTCCTCCAGGCAGCACAGCCCCTTCAAACCAGGGAGCATCGCTGTCTCTCAGCTGTGATCCTGAGTCCAGAAGTCTGGCTTGAGATTGGGGGAGCATCCGGGCCTTGCCCCACTGGCCTGCAGGTGCTCCAGACATGCGTTCCCACACACAATCCTCCCTGAGCCTCTCTTCCCTGACAGAAGAGAAGACCTGTGAGGAAGGAGGGGGGAGTTTTTGCCACCACTAACATCTTCGGTTTTCCACCCAAAAGACCCCTTCTTCTCCACACTCACGCCCCCCACTTCCCCGAGGCTGCTGATTCCTGCAGACAAGGCTAGATAGAGGTCAGCTCATCCTGTCCTATTCTAACACCCCTCCTTGTTGAGGTGAAATCTAGGCCCTCACTCTGGTCCTCTGAACTCGTCTCCCAAGTTCAAAACCCTCAAGGAACAGGAAAGAGGGCTGATGGCTGCCTGTTTGGGAGGAGAGAGGAGTCCCTGTGGAACAGGCTATGTGATGACTTTCATTAACCTAACAATGTGAGGGTGTGGACCCTGTCTGGGCCATGTGGAGGGAATGGGTTTGGGACTGTTCCGGGTTCTGCCCTGGAAGAGGTCCACAGCAGTGGTGAGAAGGTGGCCCATCCAGCCTCCAGCCCCATGAGCAAGCTTCCACCTTAAGAACCAGGCATAAAAACAAAAGTTCCCTAGTGTAAAAGAAAAAGCCGCTTTCTCATGAGCACACCAGGAGAGGGGGGACACAGGGTGTCCTAGGGCGGCCACTTCTCTCACTTCTGGTGGTGGGTGACTCCAGGAGGACCCAGAGACCCTCATCCTCAGGCCCCGAGGCCTCCACCTCCCACTCCTCGAATATTTCCAGGCCTGCTGAGTGAGGACTCAGCTGCCTCCCTCTCCTTTCTCCGCTGGAAACAGAAGCTCCAGCGAGTGTTTCTAACTCCTGAGTCCACTCAGCCATGTCCCCCTTGCAAAAGCCTCCCCTTCCTGCACCCCCCTGCACCGAGCCAGCCAATCCGAGGCCTGCGAGCCTCTCCAGACCCATCTCTCAGTGCCCTGGCGGGATAAAACCGGTCGGCGATGCCGGGTGGATGGGAACAAACTTCGCAACCAGGAGAGACTCGGGGCCCAGGGCACCCTCGCGGGCGGACCCAGGCAGTGAGGGCCTGCGGCCAGCCGGCCAGGTATGCTGCCCAGGGGTTGGCTCACAGCTGACTGCGGGAGGGGGTGATTCGAGAAGGGAGAGGGTCCCAGGAAGCCTGGCAGCCTTTTCTCTCCCAAGTTGAAGCTGGCTGAGGCTGGGGCGGCAGAGGAAGAGGGCACACGGGCTGGAGTCTGGGGCTTCCTCGGCGGACCCCCAATCCCGTATCCTCCGGACAGGCATGTGTTAGGCCAGGCTGAGGTTGGCCACACTTCGCCTAAAAATCGTCCGGCTCCTGCCACGCGACGAAAGTCTAAAGGATAGGGCCTAGGGAGGAGGTCTAAAGCGACGGACATGGAATCTTATGCCCCTTCCCCTGGGTCTATGCAGGGCAGCGACGTGGCGGCGGGCGCGGCAGGGACCTGCGTGAGAAAGCCCTGAGTCCTCGGCGGGCTGCGAGCGACTCCCCGGCGATGCCTCACAACTCCATCAGATCGGGTAAGAAGGCGGCGTGGCCAGGACCCCCGAGCCCCCGCGTCGCCGTGCGTCCGTGCGCGCGCTGGGGTCGGTGGGGCTGGGGAGCGTACGCTCCGGGCTCCCGGGGCCCACCTACGTGGGGACGCAGCTGGGGGCGCCTCGGGCCTGGCTGTCCACTGCGGCTGCCTCGCCGCTCCCGGGCCCTGGGGTCCCCCTCGGCCCGGCAGAGCCGCCCTCCCCAGGCCTTGGTTTCTGCAGACCACACGGAGCGGTGAGCAGCTCTCCGTGGGGATCAAAGGGGTGTCCTTCGCGCCCTACCCCCGTTTTGCATGGCCCATTAGAGTGGGCATCCTGCGCGCTCTCAGGCCCTGGGCCGCGCCGGTGCTGGACTTGCGGTTCCCCTACCCGCGACCTCCAAGCCCTCGTCCCCGGGGGCGCGCAGCTCTTGCCCGTGGCTCCCCGGGCGGGACCGTGAGCCCCGCGCACCTCTCAACCCAACGGGAAAGGAGCCCGTGGTCCGGGGGCCTGGGAGCCGTGAGTGCACTCAGGTGCTTCCGGACTCCTCCTTGCCGAGTACTGGGCAGGCGGGGAGCCGCGCGCTGGGCATCCGGCCTGTGAGGACTGAGCTGCCTCCGGGGCCGAAACCCCTCCTCGGGGCGCCCGGGCCCAGGGCCTTCAAAGCGCTTGGGGTCCCTGGCTGCGGCGCCTGATCCTCCCCACTTCCTGGCCCGTGCCGGCTAGCCTGTGCTGGGAAGGAGCCCTAGGGTCAGCGCCGGTCGGCGAGGTGGGCATGGCCGCCCTGGCGCACAGCAAGTGTGGATAGCAGGCAGAGGCGCGGCCCGGCCCGCGGTGATGGATGGAGTCGGGCCGGCTGCGGGGAAGGCGATTTATGGGGCCAGGGCGCAGCGCTATCGATTTGGGCAGGCGAAGTGAGAGGAAATCAATATTTCAGATGAATTCTCGGCGAATATGAAGTCCCGCTCGGCAAACCGGACATTTGTTATAATAAGGAGGGTCGGATCGGGCGCGGCGCGCGGCTGAGATCTCAATTTAGCCCAGAGCGCCGCGGGTCCGAGCTGCGCCGCGCAGTCTCGGGTCCAGGGGGCCGAGGCGCCACTGTACGAGGTGCAGGGAAGTCCCCAGGGCTCCAGAAGGTTTCTCATGCCGGTTCTCCCTAGGACCAGAGACAGAGTCAGCAGTACTCTCCCTCCCCACCCCGTTCCCCTGCGTGAGTGGGGTCACAGCCGTCCCGGCTGCCCTCTGCGGGTGCGGGGCCGCTTCAGGGGCGCGGAGCAGAGACCTCGCGGCCCTTCCTGGGAGCGGCGGGGTTGGCGAGCAGGGGACCAAGCGGAACTGCCTGGCACCCCCTATCCAACTGCGTTTGGGCACCGCGCAAGCTCCTTGACCACTTTCTGAGGCCAGGACCAGGTTTTAGCCTCTTAGTCTTTAGCCAGCAAAGGGTACAATAACAGACGTCGGCCGGCCTGGGGATCCGGACCGTCTCCGTGGCCGAGCGAGCGGTGTCTGGTGCCGGATCCCACGGCAGGCTGGTCCCGGCCGCTTCCGCTCCGTTCCCCGGTTCGATCT